GTGTGTGTGTGTGTGTGTGTGTGTGTGTGTGTGTGTGTGTGTGTGTGTAGTATTCCACTGGGATTGTGTTCTGGAGATTTTGTTTCTGGCTTTGGAAGGGCCTGTCTGTTAGTTTTCTAGTTGGAAAGGAGATGTGGGGGGTGGGAGGCAGGCAGACCTGGGGTGGAGGAACTAAAGGAACACTGGAGCTGATTTTGCTGACATGTGGAGATGACCCAGGCCCAATCCCATGACACGAGTGTTGTGCTCCTCTAGAGATGTGGCAGCTACGTCTAAGAATATGCAAACCACGTAGCAGCGATCCCAAACAGGCACTTTCTGGGTGTGGTGAGGTGTTCTGGGCTCCCTAGCCCTTCCCTGAAAGCCTTTTGAACTGTAGTTACCTCTTACTGGATTAAGTGACAAGAATATTCTGTTTCAGGCCGGTGTTGCCAGCACGTTTGTCACCTAGCTCTTTGTTGTGCAGATTTTTGCATGGACCTTTAATGAATGTAGCTTTAAGAATTCTTGAAAATGTAAACACTTCTGAGCTATTCTATCACTGGGTGCTAATTCTAAGCAAGCAGCCCAGAGCTGCGGTGATTTGCCTTTTTTCCCTTTTTTTGAATATCTTTGGTGTGGCCAATAGTATCTCCATTTTCTCAAGAATAGTGTGGAAAACATTTAAAAGATTCTGTTGAACCAACGTGAGGGGCTCGGATGCCCTTCCATCTGGATGGCCTGATTCTTGAGCTTTTAAAGTGGCTCTGGGCAAGATGTTGGCCATTTTGAGGTGTGGAACAGGTTCCCAGGAGCACTCTGAGGTCTTATAATTGGCCCTTTTTAATGGTCTCATAATTGAGACCCAGGAGGTTCCCATGGTGATCATGAAGCGCTCTGGGGTCAGCGGGACAGAGTTTGAGGTGGAAACAGCGGTAGAGTTATGATTTCCCAGCTCGATGAGTTTTTGGAGCAAGTTTATGCCAAGAGAAAAAAAATAAAAGAAGTTATAGTTCTCTCTGTGTGCCTCATGGCTGATGCTGCCAGCCCATGTGGAGAATGAGGATCTTTCCCTTCGGGAACTGGTTAGAGGCTGCCTATACCTATGAAATCCAAGGACTGGGATGTCAGACACCGCCCTTTGACCCACTTTTATGATATCTCAGAGGTGCAGCGCTGCAAGTGACTTTCACTAGGTGGGAGGAGGCCAAATCGTGGGCAGCTGGAAGTGGATGTTGGCAGAGTCCAGAATGGGCAAGTCCTTTGACCACATCTGGGGAGGAAGAGTCTAAGTGGATACCTTGAGAGGAACCTGCTTAGCTGCTAGCAGGTTGACCAATTCAAGATAAAGGGTATAATTTATGTCCCTTTCTATCTTCCACATGGGTCCCGAGGTTTTACTGTCTTTGAAGTGTTTTTTTTTTCAGTGGCATGAGATCCCTGCTCTCTTCAGAGGCCTCTCAGTGGTTTCCATGGCCTGACATGAATAGGAGATTATTCATGAAGTAATTCTGTTGACTTCCTCGCGGGCTCCTGGGGTGTAAGAAAAGAGGGCAAGAAGTGAGCCCAAGGATCATAGTATTCCAAGGGCCCTGGGGGGTCTGGGTTCAAATTTCAGCAGTCACTGACACGCTTAATGACTTAGGGTTTTGTCCGTGTCTTTCCTACAACAGCTGAAGACCCAACGACACTAGGTAATTACTGCCTACTATTTTCTGGTCTCTGAATAAGAAAGAGTTGACCAGGCTTCAAAAGATGTCATTATACATTGGGAGTTTGCTTTCATTCCTCCACACTCCATGCACCCTTGTCTTTTGGGGAAGAGAATGGAAATGAGAGAGAGAGAGAGAGAGAGAGAGAGAGAGAGAGAGAGAGGAAAGAGATATGCTTCCATTTTGAAAACTATGGGTCCTTTAGCATAAGCAATTTCTTGTCACTTCTACACTCGCCAAATATTGATGGTGCATCAGACACTAAGCTGGGAGCTTCCTTCTCCCGGAAGGGTCAGTTTTCTTCATCAAAGAGCAGCTCCCCTCAGTTTTTGCTGATTATATAAACATCTACTACTACTCACAATGTTTTGATAACTATCCATAGTCCCATCCGATAGCCAACTTCTCACTTTTCCTTTGCGCATATGCGCTTTCTGCAACTGAGAAGAAAGTGTAGACAGTTGTCGGCAGACATCTCTGAAGTGTCTTTACAGTGTGACCAAAGACTCAGAGAGAGCGCATATATCCCATCACATTTGCTGTTGATGGGATAAATTGACTAATGAATAAATGTTGAGGGAATCAATCAAATCCTAATTGTGCTCTCCCTAGCCTGTAACATTTCTAGAACTGGTGAGCTGGACTCAAGTATTTGGAGCAGGCGAGCTGGTAGAGCATTGTTTGGTTTGCATCTAGAAATCCACGCTTACAGCAGCTTTCCTAGGGTGGAATTTTGCCTTTGGGGCCCTCAGGGTCGGTTCGAGTAGGGAGATAGGATTCGGGGACGGCGGGCCAGGGGAGCTCTAAGGATGTCTCAGGTGGCAGTGTCTTTCACACACCAGCCCTGAAACTCCAGGCACACTGCCCCCAGCTGCTGTCCTCAGTCCCTGCATCCTTCACCTTCGCCTCCTTCTTCACTCCCGTCTCCCTGCTCTTTCTTTGGTAGGCTGCCATCCCTTCTTCATTCCCACTGCCACCGTGCTTGACAACCCCCACTGCCCACCTGTCACCACCTCACCATTACCCATCATGTATTCACCGCGTGGGACAGTCTCTCACCTGCCACTCAGCCTTAACGTGTGTGCTCCATCCCACTCTGTGGGATGCCCACATACAGCTGACCATTGATTTCTGATGAGTTTATTCCCTGTCTCCTACCCTGTCATCCCGGGGCTACATCCTTGTTAAACACGAGGCCTGCTTACCTATTTTTAAGAAGTACTTTATAAATGTTAGTGAAAGTGTGCTGCTGGATGCAAAGATAATGGTTTTGTAAAATGTAATCATTGTTCTTTGTTGCTCATCAGTTCTAGCAGGAGGTAGGTGACTGGGAAATTAAAGAGGCCTATGATCTTAGGGAAAAAAATGTTGTTCTTCTCTTTTCTTATCCATAAAGTGAATTAATAAGGGATTGCTGAGGTTTATAACACTGCATTTATAAATAGCAAGGACTCCAGACCTCTGTTCCCATTGTTCACAGGGTGAAACAGCTTTCTTTGTCTTCAGTCTGGAAATAGACTTCGTAGACTCCATGACCCATGAAGTCTTGTCAACATCCGCCTGAGGGAAGCAGGGAGGAAGCAGAAGGCACAGGTGAGGTCCTCTGCTCATTGTCTTCCCTCTCTGGCCTGGCGAGTCAGCTGTGCCTTCATGTTCTGTTACCACCGAGACAGCAGTGTTTCTCAGCCCTTCGTTCTGGAAGGGTCCAACTTTGAACGGAAGGTAGATTTCGGGTTCTTGCTAGCAGCTTATACACTCTTGTGGGCAAAGCTTGGGGTAGCCATGTGAACCCCCTTTCCCAAGGCAACCCCTGCCAGATATGTTGGAGACAGATCATTAAGCAAGAGATCTGGAGTCTGAGCTGGCTGTGGAAAAGTCCTGCGTAGGTTTGGGTGAGGAATGCAGAGTGTTTATGTCTCTGTCAGTGGTATCACAGTGGATGCCTTGTGGTCTGATGTACCAGGCATTGTTTATCCCACCAAAACCAGAGGGATTCTGCTTCTTACTATCTTCTAAAATATAGCTAGGGAATAACTTCTCTTTTCCTAATGACGAATTTGGCCTTATCTTCAAAGGAGGCCTTTGATGTTTGGGACAGGATTATTGGGCAGAGAGAAGAAATTATAGCAATAATGCACAGTGAATTCATTCTCGTTGCCAGAGAACATGTTGAGAAAGCAACAGAGAGTGCAGGGTAAGCAGTCCTGATGAAAAATAACCCCAAAGAAGCCAAGCACTGAGAAGGATGGCCAGAGAGCATCGTTCTTCTCAAATGAGTTTGCACGATGTTAGGCAAGTTGAGGGTGAGGAAGAGTGGCCAGGCTGGCGCCTCCCTCCTTTCATTGGCCTTTTACTGCATACATGCTCTGCCCCCGGCATCGTGGCATGAGTTTTGCCAACTTTCTTCAAGAGTCCATTTCTAGTGTTTGCTTGGAGAGTCCTTAGCATCCAGCAGTCCATTGCTGGCTGGAAGGGGAAATGCAGAGCAAACCCTGATGCTAATGCATCAGCTAAGAAGTACTTCCTAAACCAGGGGAGACAAAAACTCAGACTGAGGAAGTCAAAGCCAAAGATGGGGCCAGCAGTCCAGCAGTCCAGAATGTTCTTTCACGTCTGCCTGTATGAGTTGTTCTTTAGTTTCTCCCTGAAAAGTCATTTTTCCCTCTGTGGGTGATTAAGCACGCTGGAGACATGGGATACCAGAGTATTTCTGTTTGCATTTTTTTGAAAGAGTTTCTGAATTAAAAACAGAATCTCTTGAGTCTGGGTCTTGAATATGTTTTTAGGATCAGTCACTGAATATTTTTCAGGGGAAAAGGGATAATTAGATGATTTTGTTCCTCTCTCAACTCCTCAGATTTTCTCTTGAGTATTAGAGAAATATCCAGTGTGGTGGTGCACACCTTTAATCTTAGCAGTAGGGAAGTAGAGACAAGAGGATTGCTGTGAGTTTGAGACCAGGCTGGTCTATATAGAAACACCCTGGAGGGGGGAGAGGGAGGAAGAGAAACATGTGCTTGAATTTAGCATTTTACTTGATGGTTGCATTTGCTCCTATGCATATCTCTGGATATATAAATGTCTGCAGTAGGTTCACATGACTCCGAAGTCCATCTCAGAGTAGCAGGCAAGGGAGATAGATGTATTTTAAGGGCAACCAAGTCACGAAGCTTCCCAGTTGCCCCCAAACCTCCTGGGCTTCTGAGAGCTGGCCATCACACAGGATGGGAGGTAAAGATGGTTGAAGATGGCTGGCCTTTGGAAGCCCCGACCCAGGAAAGACTAGACATGGATTCCGGAAGAAAGCCCCACCACCACTTTCCCTGGCTCTGTCAATAGTCTAAGCCAAGTGCCTTTACCAGCCTATGCTTACCTAACATTATAATCCCAGCAGGTTTATTAGGTATGGGTCACAGCTAATTGAAGAGGAAAATTGGGGGTTCTGGGTTTATTGGTTTTCCATGAAAGCCAAGGCCGCCCTTAATTATCTCACAAATCACCTCTCCCATGTGATCCTCTTTCTGAAGTGACTGTCACCTTCCAGCAGTTTTCCATAGCTGCGCCTAAGGGAGGCCGATGTGTTAACATGTCAGTTAGCACAGTGCCTCCTTTCCAAATGCAGCCACATAAAGTCCTGGCTGTTCACAGCCGTTTACCTCTGTCATTATGAAAGGATGCTTTGTAGCGGGCCAGTATACTTGTACACTTATTTGTTGCCTTACAACTTGGAGTTAGATTCCATTGTGTCGCCACATAGGCAGGTTGGCAACCCTTCCTTCAGACCCTGAGACCCCTGGTGGTCTGCCATCTGTAAGACCGAGTCAGCCCAGGTGACAACCCAGTCAGGTGATTTTTCTTCTATAGGCTTCTGTTGCAGACATCGAGGCTGGGCTAGCAGCCCGGCTCTCACCCTGCTGGACTGTGGCAGCTTGCCAGCTAGTTCCAGTGGGTGGTCTTTGACAATAAAAGAAAGGGCTTGGGGGAGTTTAGCTCTCCTCCCCAAAGGGGAACAACAAGGTGCCTTTCTGTAGGTGGGCTTTACATGGGCGGCCAATCCCCTTGTCACAGACACACCACTCGGGTCTTGAATGTAGGAGAAAAGAATCCAGAGGCTTGTCTGGAGGTGGTATTGTATGGCCTTCGTTCGTGTTCCCCCGATTTTACAAACGAAGCCTTGTGCTTAGGTACAAGTGTGTGAGCACACACGAGCAGCAGGTACCCTTCACAAAACAGGGGAAAGATTTCATTCTCACTTCTCAGAGAAGCAAACTCCACAAGGCTTCCTACTCCACCACTCAGGGAGGCAGCCGTGGACAACGGGAAGGAGAGTAGTCTATTCGGTGCCTAGAGGCAGCAGTGACTTGTCTTTGCACAGTGCCTGTGCCCTTTCCAGAGATGAACAGTTACAGTCGTTTACAGAACACCTACTGTGTGCCGGACCTCGAGTCCAGCACTACCTTATGAAGCCCTTTAGCAGTCCTGTGAAGATGGCCCTCACCACTGCGCTCTGCAGATAAGGGCGCAGAAGCCTAAATAAGTACAGTGATTTGTTTCTGGTCTCTGCGCTGGTAAGTGGCAGAGCCAAGATGTCATGACAATCTGCTAACTCCAAACCTCTCGTTTTCAAACAAGTAAAACAGCAGATATGCTCTTCCCCAAAGCAAAGCCCCTTGACTTAGAGAACTGTTTTCTTTCCTAACTAACTGCACATAAGGGGCAGGTGAGATCCTTCATGAGACTTGTCCTAAATGCCCTCAGTATAAAGGTCGAGTCCCACATGGAGGGTGCATGCATCAGCACTAGGGACACTGGGCTCTGTGGCACAGCCATGATGGATTTTTGTAGGCAATGGAGAGTCACAGCCACACTGGGTTGCATCTCAGACCATGTTTCTTGAGACTTGCCCCTGGGACATTGTCTGAATCGCCTGGATCTAGGCTCCACTGTAAATGCCAGATGAATCCATTTGCACCCAGGATCTTTGCAAGTCTAATCAAGCAGATCCTCCCCTCCCTCAGTGGGGTGAGGGGGAGAGCTGTTTTGCCTGGTAGACACTTCGGTCAGGAGAAGTGGCAGCTTGTATAGAAAAATACCCCGGGGAAGGAAGTAGCAGCCTTGACAGACAGGTAACTGATGCTTTCTTGAAGGCAAATATTCAGCAGGCAGCCAGCAGAAAGGATTGGACAGGCAGTTACCTGCAGGAGCGCTAACACCCCACAGGCTTTGGATTGTGCTAGAAGTTTTGGTACAGAGGATGTGTATGTATTTAGGTGCTCCCCCCCCCCTCCAGTTTTTGGAGGGTGGAGGTGTGAGATACAGGTGTATGTGTGTATGGGTATTTGTGTGAATGTGGACATTTGCGTGTCAGTCACGGTGTGAGTGGTAAGGGCGGAGCACAGCTTAGGATGCTGGCGTTCACGGTCTACCTTGGTAAAAGCAGGGTATTTCTGTTGTCCTCTGCTGTGTACACCAGGCCATGCGACCACACTGAGCTTTACCTGGGCTTTTGTGAGTCCCATTCAGGTCCTCACCCTGGTGTGGCGAGCAGTTGGCTTAATGAGTTCCCTCCCTAGCGCCAGCAGCTGGGTATGCTCCCTGTTTTTCTTAAACAAACAAAGGAAGCCTGAAGTCATGATATTCTGGCTGTGGAGAGACGTGGGATGCCTGGGTTTGCGGTACAGCGGTGTGATGAGGTAACGGCAAACCTGTCATCAGTAGCGGCTTCGTCTCTTGTGTATGCAGTGACCTGGCACAGGGGACACAGGTTGAAAATGTTCTGCTGTCTACTGAAAAGCCTGTCACAGCTGTCTCACCAACCCTGAGTTCAAAGATAAGAAATTCCAGGACATTAGCTAGATGTTGGGCTGGACTCAAGGGAGTACTGGCTTTCCTTTGTAAGATTCTGAATAGGAGGCCGTTTGATCAACAGAAACTCTCTTAGGTCCTTCCAGGCCTCCGCTCTGTCCCTCCCTTTGGGAAAAGACCATGAACCGTCTCGGCGTCCATAGGAGTTGGATTGAAAAAGAAACCTTGCAACAGAATTCAAGGCAGGATCTTTCTTTGCTAAAAAAAAGAGATAGGCATTAGAAGGTCTATACTGTGGGGAAATTCTTTGCAGGAGGTTGGGAACTAAGGTGTGTGTCATCCTAACTCAGGGGAACCTGCCTAGGTTCAACCTGCCTTTGCCAATTGCTGGTGTGCAACCCTGTCCAGAGTACCTGAACACTGGGATACTAGTTTCTTTCTTCCTTTCTTCCTTCCTTCCTTCCTTCCTTCCTTCCTTCCTTCCTTCCTTCCTTCCTTTCTTTTTTCTCTGTAGCCCTGGCTGCCCTGGAACTCACTCTGTAGAACTCACAGAGATCCACCTGCCTCTGCCTCCCATGTGCTGGGATTACAGGTGTGCACCACCATTGCCCAGTTCATGATCCCAGTTTATTAAAGTTATTAAAAGGAAGAACAAGAGATATAAGGCACCTGGAATGTATCTGTTTTGTTCATCAAAGCCCTCTGTGTCTAGAATAGGATCTGGTACTCCACCCCACCCCACCCCCAACCCTGCTGCATCTATAGTAACAGTTTCTCACAACGAGCCT